TAGGTTGACTGCAGGCACAGTTTCAAGAGTTGACACAGTTGTTCTGTGGAAAGCGTGGTCCTGCTGCTCAGAGTGGTGTCTGATTTTAATCTTAAACTGACCACCTCTACTGCATCATCAACAGGAATGCACGTAAAGAGTGATGTGACATCAAAAGAGACCATTGTTTCATCAGTCTCCATGATGACATCCCTCACCTTATCCACAAAGTCCATGATGTTCTGTATGTGGTGTTCTGAGCTGCCAACTAAAGGGATGAGTACAGACGCCAGATATTTGGAAACATTGTAAGTGACCGAGTTAATCATGCTAACAATTGGTCTTAAAGGTACACCTTGTTTGTGGATTTTAGGTAAACCATACAGACTAGGTATGGCCTCCCCTGGGTACAGTCTGTGGTACAGAATACGGTCAATAGCCTTGTCCTGCTCCAAAATTTTTCTGCATGCAGTGTTTCCTTGAGGTCACTTGCCTTGGCGGCACTCATCTCTTCTGGGTTTTTTGTCGCCGGGGAGGAGGAAGAGACACCTCTGTTTTTCACCCTAGATTTACACTACGTTAGTGCCGGCAGTTGTCAACCGGGGTGAGGGGGGTTAGGAATGTGAGAGAAGTGGAGCATGCTCTGTTCACATAAGGAGAGCTGTTGGTCAGGCTACTTCTTGTTGCTCTCTAAAATAGTTATTGAATCACGTGTTTACGTAGGTAAACGTAGATATTAACAACCTGTAAAAATACACCATAATGCAGGAAATGGCATCTACTTTATTCAAAACTTTGTGGGGGAGGACCCCCAGATCCCCCCTACCAGTGTGCCACCACCCCCACATTACAAATGCTTCTGACACCACTAGTTAAAGGGATCATTGACTACTTGCACATATCGGCCTATTTCTCTATTCCACTAAAGTTTGTTTGTGACACATAAAAACTCCTAGTAACTTTAAAATGTATAGATGTTTATTGCATTTTTCCACTAAAAATGTTGACATTATTTTACTGACACTAAACATTATGGGACAATGATGGCACTGATGTCATATAAATTACCAGGTCCCTCTTGTAAATGAGGCCCGAGGCTCAGTGTTATTAACCTTCATAAATAAAGGTTGAATCATGTCATTGCTCCATTTCTGCATTCTCCTCTCTGTCATTGCGCTCTGGTTCAAAATAAAGAGCTAAACATCTGATAATGTCCAAAATTAACATTCAAGCTGAATGCAGCTGGCACTGCAGCAACCTATGTCATTTACGCAAAATGTATTGCAGCATAAATAAAATGGCAATCTGTGTGACATTAATTTTTATAATAAAACGCCAACAGTACTTTTACTGTCTTGTTTTAATAGCTAAAGTAATTGTTGATGAAATAAGATCTGTTGTTCGAACTAGTCTAAAATCCATTTTGTTATGTCTTCTACTAATGTGTGGAGGCGTTAGGATGGACGAGATCAGATCGTGTGGCGTTATAGCCATAGATATCATATAAACACAAGATCCAGCATTGACCGCTATCGCCTATTTGCGCTGACGAGCTGTAGGGCCGCCATCTTGGAACGGCTGACCGCTCCACTCAGTGTAACCTGTTTGTCAGGAGCAATGAAGCATCTGCATGTTTAATCAGTCAGAGCTGAATACTAAACTCATTCTCAGGATTTATTCATCTGTAAATCTTAGAGGTACAGCCATTAAAGCTGAACACATGGTTCAGTGTATTTAAATATTCTTGGTGGGGTTAACAATAACACCAATAAAATATTCTTATGACAAGTTTGCAAAACTCAGTCACTGATAAGATTTTTATTAAGATCTATATATCTATATATATATCTAATATATCTATCTATCTATATATATATATATATATATCTAATATATCTATATATCTATATATATCTATCTATATATATATATATATACATATATATATATATATATATATAT